ACTGGGCTCATCTCCTGCTAATCTGGACCAATCCACAAAGACAAACTTAATCTTATTAGCTCCCTGGCTAGATAGAAATGTGAATAGGTCCTAGTGTCTTGAAGTGCCTCAGTCAGATATATCAGTGGTTCCCAGCAGTTGAACCACTGCTGCTATCTTAAAAAAAAGGTTCATAAAGAGTTCACTGAGGAAAAAAAGGAAAAAAAGTTTACAGAAACACTGTAGTTCAAAAGAACTACAGAAAGTTTCAGGTTCTGGCAAATAAAACTGCCTTGGAAAGGCTTCGTTTGAAGCTCTGTCTATATTCAAGGGCCCATCAAGAATCAGCATGGAAACCCGTGTCTGCCTTTCTCTGAAGGTCTGCTCTGCTGGAAGATGCTGGCGGCCAACATGTAGAATCAACGCAGCTGGCTTCAGGCTTAACACAGCCAGTCTGATCCCCACTTGTGGCAAAGTTTTACACACATATTTTGTTGACGTCTTTCTGCTTCTTGTTTCTTTCTCCAGTATGTTTAGCAATGAGTGCCGGTAGTAAGGAGACTGTGCAAGCAGTTCTCTCACTCAAGGGCATAATTCATGAAGATGCTCACTGGGGTCCTGACTTCTCTTTTTTTCTTTTACAATTAACTCTCTTGAAATGGTTGAAAATGATCTTAAATTTTACCAAATTAATTCAGACCAGGATTCCTGTTCACACTTTCCTCTCCAATGGCATATGCTACTTAGGGTTCCTGAAGATGATTATACAACAAATGTGCAGTCGATCTGCTGATCCACTTTGGTGTCCCAGTCTGTATTTCTAAATATCATGCACATCTAGAAGGTTTTATGTTCCTGCATCCTTAACCTGACAAACACATAAACTCTTGTTTATAACAATGGTCCTTGATTATTACCTCAAAGTGAGCTGGGAAAAGTCACTTTACTAGTATTTCTCAGAACCTCTCTATAACTCCCATTAACACTCATTAAAATCATATGACCCATTTGAAAATGAAAGAAAAAAATAGTACTGCTGAACTTTATTCCTGCCTTTTTGAAACAGCAATATGGTAATGTGTAACATGTTATATTCCAGAGTTTTTCCAACCTCATTGGCCTCGATGATATGGTTAAATCTTAACATATTCTCCACAAAGCTACTGTTTAGACCCGAAAGAGAGGCCTGTGCAAAGAATGGCCCATTTGACATGCTACTTGTGGAACAGCGTATTAAAGAAGCCTGTTAACATGTAGTTTAAAACTCAAAAGAAACTCTGAACAGCTGAAATGCCTTATAAATAGCGCAGACCCAGAGGAAGTGCAAACGTCTGCATTGTGAATTGTAGATCTTAATTACCGACAATGGCTGGTACAGCAAGTAGCACGGAAAAAAAGTGAAACAGTTGCACTGTTCATGGTTGGCAATAATTCTTCAGGAAAATATTTACTATCAATCAGTTATGAGAAAAGGGACTCTGTGCTCGTAAAACAGCACGTTGCTTCTCATACCAGGACCATTTTGCTTCAGCATAATCTGAATTTAAACAGCTTGTTTCCTGCGGATATAATTTTGGAAATAAATAAAACAAGTCTTCTATCAAAATCTGGAGTGAGTGGAAAGGAACATCACATTTTTCTGTCTCAGTCAGTTGCAAACAGATTATTAGTCTCAAGTAAAAAACAATAACAACAAACAACTACAATACAGAACATCTACAAAGGACTACTGAAGAGGTTTATTTTCCAAACATAAAGAAGCAGAACTTCTCCTACCTGGGCAGGAATCTAGGTGGATGTGTTCAAACAACTTAATTTTAATTCTGTGCATGCATGTGTAAAAAGTAAATTAGGAAAAACCTGAAACCAAAATTTTCGGTAATATTTAAATAAAGTCAGCAAAAAGATAACAAAAAAATTAATGCTCTTCATTTTTCTAGTTAGTTTTCTTTACCAATTAAAAAAGATCATGAAGGTTGACAATTAGGTGCAATGTGATTATTGATTTTAAAGACTAAGTTGGCAGTCAATAATGACTGTCCATTTAAAGCTACAATAAATACAGAGCTCATCATGTTCCAAACAAATCTCATGAACTACACGGCTATAATTAGTAAGAAGGAAGGCTTTGGACAAAAATAAAAGACATTTCAATGCCTCCAAATATTAGTTGGACTAAGTTACACTGATAAAACGACCCATCCTTCATTTTTATTTTTAAATCCTTTCTTAGGCCTCATTCTTCAAGTTAGAGATTCAGAAGATTATTATTAACCTAGAGTGGCTGTAGTTTGTCTTACCACTGTGTTTTCTTATATTCTAAAGAGTACAAATGGGCCCCTCTTCATAGACCTATTATAAAACATTTATGGAAGGTATTTCTGGCAAAGAAGAGTCACATACTACGTACTACAAGGTCTGAACGTAACAACTTTGCTGTTTTTCAGGGAATGACTGGTATTAATGTCTTCTCTAAAACTCATAGTAAACAATATTCTATAATAATAATGACTATCTCCACCAAATCAAAGTCACTCTGAATTAGCTCCTTTGAACTAGGGGACAAAAATGTTGTTATCACTGTATTATAGTTGCTCTCACATGGGGATGATTGGATATTCAAGGCCACTTTGGAGTACAATCTGAATCAACAACAGACACTTGTATCAAGTGAAAAGCTACTGCAGCCATATCAAGTGTAGCAGATGAAACTATTCAGTTAAGGGCTAAAGGTGAAGAGCAGGAAACAGGGATAAGCTTGCAGACCTACAAAAACAATGGCAAGTCATTACCTTTCAAAGGTCAAGCTATAAATGAGGCAAGTAGAAACAGCACAGAATCATGAGATACATATAACACATGTAAATAGAAAAGGGAAAACTTGTTCTCTATTCTCATGTTACTGATACCTCACTGGAGGCTGTTAAAAGAAAGAAATTTTTTTTAGCTACGTTTTTATTTGCCATTGACCCACTGATTATACAGCTCAAGTCTGAAGCAATGAACCAGAAGTCAGGATGTGGGCCAATAAAAGGCACCAGAAAGTTAGGTGGGTTCCAGTAGGAAAGGATAGAAATTATTATTAAATTAGGGTATTGAAGGAGATGACGAAAGGATATAGGTGTCAGAATAATGTTAAAATAAGCAAGAATGGGATGAGAGGGTCACCATCTGGGAGCAAAAGAAACAGACAGATGAGCAGCAATAAGCAAACTTATTTCCTCACCCAAGAGCACAGAAGAAATTATGCCATTGTGCCAGATGCCAGAAGATTTCTAACCATGCACCACTGAAATAGAGGGTGGGAGAAAAACAAAACAAAACACATCATACAGACACACACCAACATGACTCTATAGCTTAGAGATCCTGGCTTACAAAGTATGGAGAAAACAAAAGGAACAGATGCTCACTTGGCCAGCCCTCAATGAAACTCATTAAAATTGTCACCCTGTCCTTGGATCAGTGCTCATGCTAAGATTTTACCTTGTTTAGCCAGAAGTCACCCACTTGTGATGAAACTGAGCAACGTGGCCAAAAGGAGAAAGATTATTTTTAAAGGCCCAAATAACTGATTCCCCCATTTCAATGTACAAATGCTGGATACAAAATTGGGTCAATTAGCACTTGCTGGCTGTGACTTAATGACTGAAAAAATAAATATATGTAATTTATTATTTTCATATTTTACAGCAAATTACTAAGACACTAAGAGACACTTAACTAACTCTATCTTAATTATAATTTTAAATAAATCAACATTTCTTATATGGTTCTTTTTTTTTTTTAGATTTTATTTATTTATTTATTTGACAGAGAGAGAGAGAAAGAGAGAGAGAGAGACAGCAAGAGAGGGAACACAAGCAGGGGGAGTGGGAGAGGGAGAAGCAGGCTTCCCGCGGAGCAGGGAGCCCGATGCAGGGCTTGATCCCAGGACCCTGGGACCATGACCTGAGCCGAAGGCAGACGCTTAACGACTGAGCCACCCAGGCACCTGTATATGGTTCATTTCTAATGGTTATAGTTTGTATGATACTTTCAGTTGATTAAGTAGGTTCAGTGACTACTGCATGTTTTAAGAAATAAAATAAAAATAATAAAAAATGTTGCCGTCCTTTGATTTTTGTAGCAAAGTATGGAGACTACCTGATTACCAGCTCCGACTCTAATAATAACAGTAAGTAACTGAGAGCCCTAGTGTATAATAAAATAGACTAAACTAAAGTAGTTAAAGTTGGGAATGTTCTAACAGTGACAAAACCCTGAATAGTTATTAAGGCAGTAATTTTGCATATATGCAAGGTAAAAGTCTAGAGACAGAGCCCATTCTGGAATTTTACTTATCCTGGAATAATCAAAGTTGCTGTTACCTAAATTTAGGTCAAAGTTCCTATGTAATCAGAGATACTTGGAAGATTAGAGCCATAGTTAATACAATTATTAGACTATAAGGTCTCTAATATGTGATTACTTTTGTATCTATAGATATGCACATGTTTTATACATAAAAAAAAGGAAGCTCATATGCAAGATAAAACACACCTGTCCACTCAGGTCAAAATCACCAAAAGCAATATTTCTATCATTGACCACTTAATAAATAATAATAGTGATATAATAATTGGATTTTCTATAGCATACTTCACAATCCTTGCAATGGTTACTCTATATTAATCGCATTTAAAACCCATGAACAACCTTATAAAAATAATTGTATATTTTCTTTCACGAATCTTACTTATTTGTAATAATCTAGTGTTTTAGGGTCAAGTAACTAGTGTCAAATAACAAACGTGAATTAGACGGAAGTGTGACCAGAATGCATAACCAAAAAATTCTTTTGCAACTGAAGAGATGGAGACTCCAACTTGCAGTCTGCTTTGAAAATGCTGCCTGCTGTATTCCTTTTTAAATATAAAATCCTGTGATAATCTTTAATAGCAATACTGAGTGAAGATGTTTTTACAGATAAAGCATTGTTACAATGTGGTATAGTAATATTTATGAGTAGTATTACTTACTTTGGCCACACAATTTTCAGTCTTCATAGCAGTGCTTGCTAGACATACTGTTTCTTGGTTTAAGCAGAGTCTGGCACAGCTGTTATAAGTCTGTAAAGAGAATTTTTCGGAAACAGGTTTAAATATTAAAATGCGGTCACATACAGTTTTCAAATTCTGTCCTAGTCTCAAAATCAACACACGAATAGACTTATATATAAATTCCAGATTTATGGGAACTGGAAACAAGGTAGGGAGGTAGAAGAAAAGAAAATGAGAGCCCACAAGAGCCACTGATGAACTCATGAACAAGAATGTAAGCAGCAGTGGTCTCACTGTATGTATGGAAGGTAGGGGTGCTATTCAAAAATGTGCAAAGGACTTGAACAGGCATTTATCCAAAGAAGATATACAAATGGCCAACACGCACATGACAAGATGCTCAACATCACTTATCATTTCAGAAATGCAAATCAAATCCACAATGAGATACCACTTCATACCCACTAGGATGATTACTGTTAAAAAACAGAAAACAGGGTTGCCTGGGTGGCTCAGTTGTTAAGCGTCTGCCTTCTCTGTCAAATAAATAAAATCTTTAAAAAATAAAAAGTAAAAAACAGAAAACAGCGAGTGTTGGCAAGGATGTGGAGACACTGGAACCACTGTGCACTGCTGGTGGGAATGTATATATATACACAGCTGTGGAAAACAGCACGGTGGTGGTTCCTCAACAAATTACAATTGGAATTACCATATGATCCAACAATGCCACTTCTGGGTATATACCCAAAAGAAATGAAAGCAGAATTTTGAAAAGGTGTTTGTATATCCATGTTCCTAGCAGCATTATTCACAATTGCCAAAATATGGAAGCAACCCAAGTATCCACTGACAGATGAAGGGACACACAAAATGTGGCATATACATCAAATGGAATGGTATTCAGCCTTAAAAAGAAAGGAGATTCTGACTTATACTATGATATGGATGAACCTTGAGGACATTATGGTAGGTGAAATAAGTCAGTCACAAAAAGATAAATACTGTATGATCCCACTTGTATGAAATACTTAGAGAAGGCAAAATCAGAGAGACAGAAAGTGGAACGATGGTTGCCAGAGCTGGGAGAAGAAATAGGATGTTCCTGTTTAATGGGTATAGGGCTTTTATTTTTTTTTATAAAATGAAAAGAGTTTTGGGGATGGATGGTGGTGACAGTTATATAACAATGTGAATGTATTTAATCCACTGAACTGTACATTTAAAAATGGTTAAGACGGTAAATGTTATGTTACATGTATTTTACCACAATTAAAAAAATTGGTTATACTTTATGGTAAGTAAACATTATTAATAATTGGCCAATATAGTAAAACAATGTTTTTTATTTATTTTATTTTATTATGTTATGTTAATCACCATACATTACATCATTAGTTTTTGATGTAGTGTTCCATGATTCATTGTTTGCGTATTAACACCCAGTGCTCCATTCAATATGTGCCCTCTTTAATACCCATCACCAGGCTAACCCATCCACCCCCACTCCCCTCTGTTTTTAAGTTTTCACTGATGGTATAAATCATGATTCTCAAAGTTTAGCATGCATCAGAATCATTAGGAGGGCTTGTTAAAAACACAGACTGTCGGAGCACCTGGGTGACTCAGTCAGTTGGGCAACCGACTCTTGATTTCGGCTGGGGTCATGATCTCGGCGTCATGGGATGGAGCCCCACATCAGGCCCTGTGCTTGGCATGAAGTCTGCTTGGGATTCTCTCTCCCTCTGCCCCTTCCCCCATTCGCTCACTCTCTCTAAAATAAAACAAATAAAATCTGGGGGGAAAAGAAAACCAAACCCAAACACACAAATTGTTAGGACCCACCCCCAGGCTTCTGAGAATTTGCTTTTATAACAAGTTCCTAGTTGATGTTAATGCTGTTGGTTTAGGAACACTCTTTGAGAACTACTATGTTGGAGAACTATATGTTTTGGAATTAAAGAGAAAAATCTTAAGACATAGGCAATCTCTTATAACCAACAATAGGAAAGAATCCAGTTTTTAAAATTCTAGATTACAGAATAGCCGCAAAATGAGTTTCTGTATACCCTTCCCCCCAGCTTCCCCTTATGTTAATGACTTACATAACCACAGAACACTTATCAAAATTAAGTAACTAAGTTGGTACAATATAAAGAATTTCTTTTGAGTTTCATCAATTTTCCCACTAATACCTTTTTCTGTTCAGGATCTAACCCACGATGCTACACTGAATTTAGTTATCATGTCTCTTTAGTTGCCTCTAACCAGTGACAATTTCTCAGTCTTGTCTTTTAGGACTATGACACTTCTGAAGAGTACTGATTAGTCTATATAATTTCTCTCAATGTGGCCTTGTCTCATGTTTTCTCATGATCAGATGGAGGTTATACATTATTGGGAAGAATACCACAAAGGTGATATACCCTTCTCAATGCATCAAGTCAGGAGGCATGTTATTAAGTATTTCTAGTGATGGTAAACTTTATCATATGCCTATGATCATATCTGCCAAGATTCTCCATTATAAGTTTGTTATTTTTCCTTTAGGGATTACAAAATATATTGAGAGAAATATTCTGAGATGATGAAAATACTTCGTTTCGATTTCAACTTTTGCCTGCTAATTTTAGCATCCATTGGTGGATCCTGCCTATGGTAATTTTTACTGTGGTGTTCTGATGGTGATTTTTAAATTTCCCTCTTTCCTTCCACATTTATTTTATTTTTTAAAAGATTTTATTTATTTATTTATTAGAGAGAGAGAGAGAGAGAGAGAGAGAGAGAGAAACAGCATGAGAGGGGAGAGGGACAGAGGGAGAAGGGGGCTTCCCACTGAGCCGGGAGCCTGATGTGGGACTCGATCCCAGGACTCCGGGATCATGACCTGAGCCAAAAGCAGTCATTTAACTAACTGAGCCACCCAGGTGCCGTCCTTCCACATTTATTAAATGGAATTTTTTTCTGTGACAAAAAGCTATGATTTCTCCTATTTACTTATGTCAGCAGTGGATTCATAGATGTTTTAAACTATTCATTTTTGGTCAGTTATCATTCTTTGGAAAGATATAGGTAAAAAAATTTAAGAAAATGGAGAAAAAGTATTATAAAATTGGTTTTCCATTCAAATTAAACTTTAAAAAATTTATATCCACTTAATTGTTTTATTCTTTTATAATTTAAGTTGAAATTATTTCAAAACCAATTTTAAAGATTTTATTTATTTATTTGTCAGAGAGAGAGAGCATGCACAAGCAGGGAGAGGGGCAGGCAGAGGGAGAAGCAGACTTCCTGCTGAGCAGGGAGCCCGATGTGGGACTTGATCCCAGAACTCTGGGATCATGACCTGAGCCAAAGGCAGACGCTTAAACGACTGAGCCATCCAGGTATCCCCAAACATATTTTAAAGGAATAAATTGGATCATCTGACCTTTGAGTATAGCAGCTACCGGTGCATGTATGTTCTGGGGTCAGGTTCAGTACTTCTTTTGCAACTACTAATACCACAAACATTTATTATTCATGTATAGACAACATAAAAGTTTTTAAATAAAACTTCCTATCATTTAAAAGACATTTATGAAGTGATTCATATATACTGAATAACATAAAAAACGTAAGCCAAAGAGTTCAAGTTCCAATAATGCCAGAGATGCTTACATGGGATTAACCCTCATAAGATAACAATTATAAACCATGGGAAAAAAAATTAATAATAACTACTTAAAGGCACTGGAGAATGACCTAAACTAGTAAGAAATTGGGGGAGAAGAGTAGACTGACCTTCAAGGGGAGAAACACACAGGGTAACATCCATGTTTATGTGCTTTCTCCCCTGAGGGTACTCACCAATCTACTTGATGCAGGGTGACTAAAATTCACTTAGAAAGCCAGTTTATTGGCTTGATATGCCAAAGGATGGAGTTCAGGGCTGCATAGTGGCTGGAGATTAAAAAATCATAGAAAACAGACCCATAGGGGAGGCTCAATTCTCCTCTAATCCATGGCTAATCCCCAAACTACACATATGAATGGGAGACTATAAGGATTCCAATGGAAAATAACAGAAGACTGAAGACTGGAGCAGGGACTGCAGCTGTTGCCCATGAGGAGAGACAGAATTTAGAATCTGATTCCTACTAAATTAGAGGAACTTAAAAGGCATCTCAAACTTTCACTGAAAACTTGAAATGACCCTGCATTGAGAGTAAACAGTAAGTCTTAGGAGTAAAGGCTCTACCTTAGACCAGGGGAAAAATCAAAACATATGTGCTCTAACAAATATAAACCAACACTCTGTGAAGTTACAGTGATCAGTCAGTAAGTTAATCAGTAGAAGATAAAAGAATCCAGAGTCTCTGCAATCAGTTATTTATAATGTCCACTATATAATAAAAAACTGCTAGATATAAGAAGCAGATAAATGGAACCCATAGTCAAGAGAAAAAAGAACCAGTAGAAAATGGCCCTGAGATGATCTAGTATGGGAATCAGTATATAAAGGCTTTATAGAAGCTATAATAAATATATTCAACATCTTAAATGAAAGATGCAATCATAATGGATAAACAGATGGAAATTTTCACCAGAAAAATGAAAACCTAAAATGAACCAGATAGAAATTCTATAACTGGAAAGTATATTATCTGAAATTTAAAATTTACTGGATGGGCTTAAAAGCAGATTGGAGATGGCAGAAGAGAGGCCAATGAAATAAAGATAGATCAACTAAAATTATCTAAACTGAAGGATAGAGAGAGTAAAAGAAAAAAAATGAAAAGAGGCTCAGTTATCTGTGGGGTAAGTGTTAATGATCTAACATATCTGTAAACTGGAAACCCAGAAGAGAAGTGAGAATGCAGCACAAAAAAAGCTATAAGAATAGTGATCAAATAAGTTCTCAAATTTGGTGAAAACTGTTGGCTTACTGATCTGAGATCAGCAAACTCTACGGAGATTAAATACAAAGATAACAAGAACTAGGCACAAACAGTCAAACTGCTGAAAACCAGTAACAAAGACAAAACCTTGAAAGAGCCTAAGAAAAAAGGGATGCTCCATACATGAGA